AAAAGAAGGTGAGAAATTCGGGATAAAATCGCATGCGCAGTGGAATCGATTCTTAAACTATGAAAAGGCTTATTTAAAACTGTTAGGCAAACAGGAAATACTAAATGTTTAATCATTCTATTGTTTAGTCTGGAAATAACTGCCCAAGATGTGGTCCTGGGTTGACATGCAGCCAGATGATCCCCGCTCCGCCAATAGGGACATGCAAGAATACAGGAAAGTGAATACACTAATCATCTGACAAAACTGACTGGATGCTGCAGCTTATATGTTAACATTCAATATATTTTACTATGATTCTTAACGTGATGCGTGAAATTCAATTGCTTCTTTAAGATATTGTAAACTTCGTTCAATGAGCACCTCATTCAAAATAATTGAAACATAAAAAGTAAAAAGATATAATAAAATAAATAAATAAAGTCTAAAGGTATAAATTAATCTATTACTATTATATAGTGACAAGTGGGTACGGTTAATGCTTCTACATTTCGTCTTTTTATTGCTGCATTTGATGCACACTGTTTTCCATGTCCAGCATTTCATTTCTCTATTTTGTAAGCTCAGTGTTTCAAAGCCTTTGGGACTTGTGGTGATGCCTGTTTTTGCTTGAATAACTGTAAGACTCAGCTTTCAATGGCAACAATGCAGTATGAACGTAAAAATCTTCTGCCACAAGGATGACTGGATAACTTTAATTAACATTATTGAGAAACGCAGATTTCAAAACCTCTGAGGCTGTATATTTGTTTCTTTCTGAACAAAAACACTTGCTCAGTACTTCGTAGGTATCTTGTTCGACGTCTTCGGGTAATCGATCTAAGACATCGTCCTTCTTCGCGAGTCCCTGAAAGAGAAAAACGTGGGTTACGCTCTCATAAGACACCATACAGTAGGTAAAATATTTTGGGGTAGAATACGAACAGGAAAAAATGGATAAGACAAGGAAACAAGGGGATGAGACAAGGAAACAAGGGAATGAGACAAGGAAACAAGGGAATGAGACAAGGAAACAAGGGAATAAGACAAGAAAACAAGGGGATGAGACAAGGAAACAAGGGGATGAGACAAGGAAACAAAGGAATGAGACAAGGAAACAAGGG